TTTAGGCATGCACGATGGTCGTGCCAGGGTTAGAAGGCGACGTGGTGAAAGGAGGAATCCACAGTTTTTTGTTGAAAGACATGTTCATCACACTGTTGGAGTTATGGTTTGGGGTGCTATAGCTTATGGTTCCAGGTCACCTTTAATCTTCATCAGAGGTAACATGAACGCGCAGCGTTATATCCACGAAGTTCTAGAATCCCATCTTTTACCCTATCTTGACACCTTGGCAGATCCAACTTTCCAACAAGATAATGCCCGACCACATGTTGCAAGAGTCACAATAGACTTCTTTCAACATAATGATGTCACATTGTTACCATGGCCACCAAGATCACCCGACTTATCCCCAATTGAGCACGTGTGGGATATGATGGGTAGGAGATTGCTCAATTTGCAACGTCCTCCTCAGACTCTAGAAGCACTTCGAGAGGAGTTGGTGGTTACCTGGAATGAGATACCACAGGAGAACATTGACCGCCTGATCAGAAGCATGCCTAGGCGCGTTGGAGAATGCGTAGCACATCAGGGTGCATCCACACATTATTAAAGGTTAAAGGGCTTTAAAGTAGTGCAATCATTTTAAAATTTTTATCATTTACTTATCATGCTTCATTAAGTACTTCTACAAAATTTTATTAAAATAAAACCATTTAAACTGGGTGTTCGGATTTATATGTCACTTAGTATATCAATGAGAATACTGACTGGAGTCTATGTGAAATTCATTGAACGTTTTTTTTTTAAATAATGTAGGAAATGGGTTCAATCTGAATACAAGGAGTATATGTTTTTTTTCAAGAAATATCCAACTTATCTACGGGATAGAAAACAAACAACCCAGAAACAATTATTTGACTAACCGGAATCTTCAGGAATCTATAAGAACAAACTGCTCACAATTTTTTCCAGTTCAAAAAATTGATATAGGTAAGACTATGATCTTCATTACAGCTTTCTTGTGGGGAAATAAAGTTTATATATCTTCATGTTTATATTGATTTGAAAACTCCTCCAAAGGATTAATTTTTTTGTAACAAAAATAATTCAGGGGCATCATATTTCAAAGTATGGTGAATGTAACAATCAAAATAATGGCTATACCTTCAAAGACGGAGATAACGAACGACTAATTAACAGATTTTATTATAGGAAGTAGATAATATGAAAATCTAGTAATAGACGGTGGTAAATCACGTAATGTATGGCTAGTCTGAACAAGGACAAGGGAAGTCAGCTATTAAGGAAAATAAAGAACCTAGAAGGCAATGAACAGACGCTACATCATCTTTTTAGATGAGTATTATATTTATACATATTAAAACTTGTAATATTTAAGAATTTCAAAATTTTCACTTATCAGTATGCGATTACATACAGTATTGTTGCAGAGATAGACCCGCGAAGGGCGCAATAATTAGGTGTGAAATGCTTAGGTAATGTCAAATTTTTAAACGTATGACTGTAATCACTGATTACATTGCGTTGACTGAAATCAAGTATCTGTAATTATTCATAAAATATCTCTGATGCTGATTTAATTAGGTAAGCAAAGACACAAAACGTATGCATTTTATAAATCCACCAACAGAATAACTATTACCACACTAGCTAAGATCAAAGCATTGAATTGTTATATTAATGTGATCAACACTAATTTAGTTTTATTAGTTTAAGGTCGATATTTTGAGAGGAGTCACGATGAAATGCTTTCAGTAAAATGAAGAAATCAGTGTTCTCATCAACCTAACCTTTCAAGCACATGCTTGAACACAAAATAATATTCGTATTCAAATAAATACACTTTATTATGAAAATTAATGCAAAAATGATGTGCAAGACAGAAGAGAAAATATAAAATGTCGCAGAACTATAATAATAAATACATATTAGCCAACGCCAGATTTCGTTGGGAGCCATGATGAGTGATTTGCAATGAATCTTTTCAAATTTTCTGCAGGTCTAATTCTGTAAACAACAGGTATATGGTTTAAACTTCAATTTTTTTTCGGAAACTCCATTACTATTACCCACTGGTCTAAACTAAACATTGATTTATAGTACTTATTGTCAATATCTACATATTGCTAGTGAACTTACTGATATTATTGAAAAGTCATCTGTTGAATAACTCTAAGAAGTTTGGTACTGTTCTGAAATGTGCATAAGAAGATGCTATCGCAATACTGTTCACCATATTTCAAATCCACTTATCACTAAAACTTAAGAAATACGAGCAACATACAGATAACATAAGGAACTTTTACATAGCAGATCTCTCGAGTTTATTCTAAAGTATCGAGGAACTCAGGGAATACGTAAATTATAAAATAAAATGGTAGCGGAATGATTACTTTTAGGTTTCTGTTGGTATTCTGAAAACATGAAACACATGCACTTTGCGATTTCAATACTCCCTTTTTAAATTTATATATAGCATCTCAGTAACTTAATTTGCTTATACAATTCTAGAATTAGCTACTCAACATATCCGACAGTGAGTCTACATAACGAATTCTTCCTGCCATTATTTCATTTAGATAATAAAAATAGAAGTTTGACGACCTATTATACCGAAGGTCTACTTTAAACGGTTTCTTTAATTTTGCATTGAGGAGCAATTGACTGAAAGTTACGTACGGAGACGAAGTTAATGAAAAGCTATATTTCTTAGCATGTATGCAGGGTATTTCAAAGTTAAACGTGCACTTTAAACAAGCGTGTTCTTATATTAAAAACCAGACAAACGGTGCTTATAAAATTGGATGCAACATTCATTACCAGTGATAGTTATATCACTTTTTAGAAAATATCATGTCATTTCAAAGACTTGTTTGTAAAATATTTTATCGCTTCCCAATTCACTGCAACAGCTCGCGGCACTAAAAAGTGCACTGACATATTTTAGTGAATCTCTTGGACCTAACACAAGGGTACGTATTTAACCTTTTGTAGACTTTTTTCAATTTGTAAGTACTTCTTGAAAATGCAACACATATTGTCAGAAATTGTTGCACCTTATATTCATTCTGTGTAGTAATGATAACATCTAGAAATACCTTTCCAACTTTAATCAGATCTTGCTTCTCAGAAATAGTTGTTCATTTTCACTAAATATGTAGTTGATTTCCTGATGCTGTAAACCCCTAATGTCATTAGAGTAAATTGAAGTTAAATATTTCTTTAGTTAATTTTATTTTCATTTACGTATGTTTGATTACTTCTAATGATTCTGCTGAAAATATGAATGGTAGTTCCACTATCATCTATAATGGCATATAGTGAATAAATTTTTTATTATACAGGGTGGCGCATCGAAAACGAAACAGACACATTTACTGGCAGCTCAGTTTTTTTTTTAAAAACGTTGAGACCCGTCGGTTTTGTTTTCGAGGGGGACACAAGTTTGGCAAAAAATCACGTTAGTACGTGCAGCTCCCTAAGCGGGGGTGACACCACCCCAAAAATCTTAAATGGAAAGGGGGTCGAGTGATACCTTATTTTAAAGGTCTTTCAATTCCCTTTATAATGATATAAAATTAATATACTTCAGTTCAGTAGTTTTGAAGATTTATTGATTTAAAGCTTAAATAAAACTAACACATCATCATTAGTGAAGAAAAGCATTTACTTATTAAGTAAATTCTTTTAGTCAAATTTCTTCTGAAAGTAGTACAAACTAATCTGTACTTTAAGCTTTAAATCAATAAATCTTCAAAACTACTGAACCGAAGCTCATGTATTTTACATCATTATAAAGGGAATTGAAAGACCTTTAAAATAAGGTATCACTCGACCCCCTTTCCATGTAAGATTTTAGGGTTGGTGTCACACAAGCCTAGGGGGCTGCACGTGTTAACGTGATGTTTTGCCAAACTTGTGTCCCCCTCGAAAACAAAATCGTACGGGTCTGAGCGTTTTAAAAAAAAACTGAGCTGCCAGTAAATGTGTCTGTTTCGTTTTCGATGCGCCACCCTGTATATATTTTTCAAATCAATCATATTAATGATCGCAGTAGCAGGCAAAACTAGCATTAAATAATCATATCAGATGGACAACCAAAGCAAATGCTTATTTCAAATGACGGGAGCATCATACGTGCATTTATCAGGAATTATTTCACGACAGATAAAAAACAGTGGCTATTCTGTGTCATTTTTGTCAGTTGTCATCAACTGAGACTGAGAGTATCCATACCTTCTTCTCGCTGAAGCACGAGAAAGCTTTGATTGAAATATGGGAAGCAAACATTAGTATTGCGAAATGTTGTTGGAATGATTCTAGAATCCTTTTTGCCTATATTAAATGATTGCAAACGTTTTCTGGATAATCTTAGATCTTTAGTCAAGTAGTTCAGACCCATAAGACTTCTTGGAATTAAACGCAGATATCATTATCTTATTAATCAAAGATAAGCTGAGGGTTTTTGAAGTCCTTAACTGAATCTTGCTATTGTAATTTAAAAACACGATGTTTATGTTTAAACGTTTTTGATGGATATGTATTCTCGTGAAACGTGATGGAATGATCAAAAGGAAATTGATAAAGGAAACTAAACTAAAACAGAATGAATACCAAAGATGAATAAAAACAACGCTTCTTAATCTTAGTAAGCGGTTACTTAAGAATATCAACGGTACCAATAACATCAGTTAAAAATTCAACTACTTAATATAAATTATGGTAAAATATTATACGATCCCGATGTTTGTTGTAACTATATCGTACATTACTTTATAAATTTCGCATTAAGTTGTAGATCTATACATGATCGAACATAGTATAGAAACCTTATTTAAAAATTTTGAACCGGTTACGCACATTGGGGAAAATGTTAGCATCCAGTTTTCGACGATCACTAAAACTCATGCCCAAGTCACTCCGACTACTAAATCACAACACTTCAAGCACCAAAGAAACCAAGTTAAACACCCCTCAATCAGCAGTAATTTGAACACCTTTCTGTTTCCGGAAAGTGAAAAATAGTGAAGAAAGCTTACCTTAAAATATAAAAGTGCTTGAAGAAAAACTGAAATAACGGCTGATGGATGAACTAGCGGCCGGCATGCACAGCACTGGTCACTGATATTGTGGCGTGAAAACGGGAGTGGGCGCTTTTATAGATTACATCCCCCCCTCCAACGATGTCTCGACTCTTCAGGAGATGCACCTTCAACTGGAGATACTACTGTCAAAATCACAGTTATTTCGTGTCTTATCAGCAATTATGCCTTGTTTTGCATACATACTTTTAATGTCTATGGATTATAGGTAAGCACATATAGGTGTCTGTATGAAGATATATATATGTAGGTGAAGCAGTGGATGCCAAAGAGAGCACTGGTTCATTTTTCAGAAAGATATGCATGTGCAGGTAACATTTGGGGTATTATTGATTACTATTGGATAATTATTTTAAGAAACACCAATTGCATGTTGTGTATTTTTCCCTTACGAGAGCCGTCCGATGGCACTGAAGCCTGTCGGGCTTATTGTACTTTGTTAAACGAATTTACAGGATTCAGTCCATCAGTCTAGTGTTCTGTACCAGCTGGTATAGCTTCCCTGCCTATACTAAGCTCCTTCGGTTCAAGTTTTGATGTTCGGAAGAGTTTATGTCTTTTGTGATCCAGCGCTTCGCACTCACATAAGACATCTAAGGATTCTGGTCCTTTTTCGCATTGCTTGTAGCGAGTGAGGTCTCTATTATACAGCCCTATGTTGCGCAGATGTTCTTTCAGGCCATAATGTAGGCCTGTAACTACACGGAGTTGATTTCTGCTCATTGGGAGCAGGTTCTCAGTCATATTTGGACATTGTCCCCGATAAATCCTTTCTCATGCCTGCATCCAGTCACTAAATACCAATGTTCCTTGTACTGGTTTCTTACACAACCTTGGTTTCTGATGCAGTGTAATAGTGTAATGATTACATTTGAAGATTTAACATAAGACTTGAAGAAACATGTACTGCATTTTTCAATTGTCTGTTCAACAAAAATTTTTTCTGCGCCTGCCTCTCTAACTCTTCAGCAGGCGCACCTGGAGATACTACTGTCAAGGACACATTTTTTGTGTATAAGCAATAATGTCATGTTTTGTATATCCACTTGTAATGTCCATGGGCCATAGATAGGCATTGGTATATGTAGTTATAAGGATGAGGCACCTCCGATATGAGAAATCCTAATACAGAATAAAGAAAATATGCTCAAATTATTTAAAGTATTGAGGTGCTCATAGTATTACTTCAATTATATTAAGAATCGACTGATATATTTCTTTATTTCTGTGGTGGAATCATTGCTTTTCTAGATAAACCTGAGACGAAAAATGAGCTTCAATTTTACAAAATTCTTCATCAACTTGGTGGGCAGCTTTTATAAATTACATTCCCCCTCCAAGGATGCTTATCAGACTCTTCATGAGATTTACTGTCTTCTGTCTTATCAATAATTATGCTTTGTTTTGCATACCTAGCTTTAATGTCTATGTGATGCATTTTTGATAATCAAGGAAAAAGTACTTAGGGTGTCGGAATTGGTCATTTGAAAAACCACGTAAGTCACATTTTTTCCGAAGCGATTACAATACTTCCTCGCCAATTGGCCTGGGAAGTAACACTAGCCGAAAGTCATTTCTCGTTTGACTGTACTAAATTGCATCATTCTACCGTTAAGTCACTTACAGTGTCTAAACATCTTATACATGAAGTGAGTATCAATATAAAATCAGATAAAAGGCAGATCGATTTTTATTGTGTAATCGGTCGATAGCTCCGCGATCTTAAGGATTTCTGGAAAAGTTGGTTACATTGTAGGCAACTATAGGCTCTTTACTTGGAAAATATAATACTCTCTACAGGATGATTAACTACATTTTTTAAATGGAATACCCTTTATGTTTATAGTGTCTGGGTTTGGACAGCTACTTCTGGAGCTACGGGATAATCTGTTTGAAAAAATATTCAATTTTGACAATTTGTAACTAAGTTACACACTTTTACAGATACAGTAGCAAGCTTTTCGTCGAAATCATGTTTTCTAGTTCTAGGAAACACCTACGTTTTATCATAAAATTCAAACTTAACGCCCTATATATATATATATATATATATATATACAGGGTGACTTTGAAGTTGAGGCATTAATTTTCAGATAATGATTGTAGAAGGAAGATAAACCAAAATATGTGTGTAAAAATAAAAAAAAAAATAAAAAAAAAGTGTTACCTTGTTTTATAAAGTATCCTCCCGACAAGTATTTCAGTGCGGACCTGTATTCGATCGTGCGGTCTTAGAGCACCGGCATGCTCTCTCCTGTGAGGTCTTAAGTCACCTGATTCACGAGCCCTTTGTACTACATTAACAAAGGCACGAGGGGTTGGTTGCACTCGATTGGGAAACCGATCCGCATAAATCCGTGATGCCGCGTAAATAAGAATCATGTCCACAAGTTCAGCATTTTCGTAAACATGTGCCATTTTTCATTTCGTTTGAGCCACGCAACAGACACCACTATTCACTCACGCGTTACCGACTGACACTGACTGTATACAACTGAATAAAATAATTATAAAAACATCGTTCCAAATTCTTTCGCTTTTTTATTTCCGATGCGATGAACCGATAAGGCGGATTATATCCGTTGTTGCCAAACACGAGCACATAATATTATTATTGAGACAGGGCGGTACTCAAACTTCCAAAGGGCTATAACTTTGTTACTTTAATTTTGCCAGAAAAATGGTAAAGGAAAAAACATTTCTTTTGATCAGATCTACTCACTGTTAAAATAAATGACTCAACTTCGAAGTCACCCTGTATATATATACGGCTATCCTTATCATAAGCTTCATTTTGTTATATATTTTTGGTGGGCTAATTTACCGTATTTTTGACTTATTTGCGGTTTCCGAATAGCAAAAATTAATACCACATAGGTTGTGAACAGGGATGATTTTTAGTGAATGCGAAGTAATTCCAGTGAGGGCTTGTATCTATCTATTTGAAATCCCCCCTTTCCATGAACAATGTGAGATTTATTCAATTAGAATCGTAATTTCTGAAAAATGCAATTAATTTAAAAATCGTGTAATTTAACCTCGAAAAATAGTATACCCAGCAAACTAAAAAGTACATTTTGCATTTGGATGTACAAAAATTAAAAAACAGTCTCAAATGGCGAAAAACTTTGGGATATAAGGTTCGTTTTGACGGAAAGGTAGCTATTCTATCTGCAAGCTGTCAAAGTTGAGTGTTTTCGGACAAAACATCCCACAGCTCCAGAAGTACCAATCTAAACCCTTATGTATGCTATATCAAACTTCTTCCTTTGATGAGGCCTTTCAGAATATACATCAAAACATAGGGTATGATATTAAAAAAATGCGTTTGTATTGCCACGTAGATATGAATCACCCTGTAGAGAGTGGCGTATTTTCCAACGTGGGTACAATTTTTGTCAATAACATTTTTAGTCATGCTTTATAGTAATGAGGGTATCGACCGACTATACACTAGAAACTTACCCTATAGATTCTTGAATCCAACGTCACAGCCAGAGGCATAGTCTTCGTCCGTCCTCTACTACCTTTTGTGGCCTGTGATACTGCAAAAGGCATCAGTAGACCGGCAAATTATTCCACGAAATGATACCTCATTTAAGGAAGTATGGTAGATTACTGTAGCATCTATGGCAAGAATCAACCATCGTATATAGACTATAAATAGCTAGTACATTAAAATTTCAAAGCTATTATCAGTAAGCATCAGTCCATTGCAGATTCGCTATATCAGACGTCGCTGCAGACAAAGCAGTACGTCGGCTAGACCAGTGGCGCCGACAGTACTTGAGAAGTTGAGCTTTCCGAGAAAAGGTACTAATTAGGCAGTAATTTATCTAGCTAATGGATACTTGCCCGAAGCTTATGCCAAAGGAACTAGTATCGTCCATAGTGAAAAGTGCATTACGAAGTTCTTATGGTGTTGCGTGAAGGACTGCAGCTATCGACTTTCTGAAAAGTCGACGTCAGATGGTTGAATATTTGGGAATATATGGTGATTGTTCCGATTTTACCGGGAACATATATCAACCGACAAAACTAATTCAGTCTGTTGCTGAATATTGCGACTTCAGAAGTTCTTTGTCAGATTAATAAGATAATATCCTTATTACTGAAGCTACACTGATCTCCTACATTAGTATTTGAAACCAATTTAACTACGAGTTTCATAATTTCCAACAACAAATTGATTTAGTTTTGAATCCTCTCTGTCTGTGCTTTCCACCCTTAAAGTAGGTTCCCTACTATATTTTTTTAATGTTTTTGGCGCTTACGTCACAATGCCATTCGTAATAAGTAAACAGAGTGTCTAACCAAGATTTCGTGTAAAATTTATAAAATGTCATTAAAAACTGGTATAATGTCAACTTGTGTATCCCCAGTAGTCGCTAACCCATTCCTCACATACCCGCTAGGAGTGCCACCTATGTTGGAATCGCACATCGAAAGTCACTCTGGCAATAGTATAATACATAGATTAGGCCATAGAAGCTACGAATGGCGCTCATTAGTCCCATACCTGGAGCAACTGTTACATCACATCAGAACCGAACTATATAGCTCAAGTGTCATGAGGTTTAGGCAACACGCACAGCTAGTTCCAGTGAACGCGAAGCTAGTTTGGCAAAATCTACATAATGTCATTACAAATTGATATGATATCACTTTCTAAATTGCGTAATACGGGTGCGGAGCTTACTCAAGCTTACGAAAATTGCGCTCTGCGTACGTGTTGTCTCTCTCTGAAAATACTCCAATAAATTTAGCACAGATTGTTGATATTATAGTTGTACAATCAGTTCGTCGGTTTTTGTATCAAAGATCACCAAAAGTTGTGGCGAGTATAAATGTGGAAAAAACATTCATTGGATAGAAAATTTTCAAGGCGACAAAATCGCAAAGTATACGTTGCATTTCATCGAAAAAAAGTGATGTTTCAAAATTCGTACATATGGGTTCTATTTGTACATCTAGTAGGTGTGACAAAGAACACACATTTTTTTCCGTGTGACATTTATTTGCCAAATTATAGACTTCTAAAAAATTGCCGTATTTGAAATTCGGATTTTTTTCGGAGTATTTTATCGAATAGTAGTATAACACTAAATTTAATTTTTTTCTCCAGATATATTTGAAAGTATTATTAGAGCTTAAAAGTATTCATATTGTAGCCTATTAATGACGACCTGAACAAGCTCCTAATGTCAATGCGACATGTTTGAGTATGTACACAAAAGTACCTACCTTCTTAATTTGTGCATTCCATTTTAAAACTTTTAGGGTATTTCAAACACACAATTGCCAGCATTTTTGATCTTTTACGTAAAGCTTGAGATGTCTCAAGTTAAATAATAAACGCAGCGTAGGAACCAAAAATTGCTTAATATATAGATATGGTATTTCTTCATTAAGACAAGCAAGTTGGTATCTACTTTTGCACCGGAGGTGCTATCATTTTTAAATTATCTTTCCATAAATGTTTAACGTTAGATCTTGATGGTCTTATCACTAGAAAAAGGATTGTTAACTGTACCACCAACCTTCTTCAGAAAATTGTGAAGGAGGTAGAGGTAGAATGCTTAAGTATTATATAAATGTTCGTAGTCTCTTGTGAGCTCAGAACAATACTGCATATATTTGTTAAAAGCTATCAAGGCCAAAGGGTTGTTTTCAAAAGTTTGGTATGCTATACAGGGTTATCCAAATTAAGTGTCCACCATTAGTAACTTTGTTATTAGTGAAAATACAAAGTTGTTTGAATTAGCAAACTAGTAGCATTTTTAACGCTGGTAAAAATGAGAAATAAAAAAAAACAATTGAGAGTCGTTATTTTGATTTTTTTCAGTAAAATAACATTTTTTTAAATGGAAACCCTGTATATTATATTTTTTTTCTGTTAAAGCATCAAATTTTAAACAAACAAGTTCATAATGACTTTTCCGCTAAAGTCAAAAATAAAGTCAAAATAACGATAAATATTTTTAATTATTTGCAGTATTATAATATTAAGACGGCTATGAAAACAACATGGCGTTCGCGATTTGACAGCATTAAGATAAGCGACAAATTGTTAAACTGGACATACTCGCAACTAGAAGGCTTTGGAAAACAATGATAAAATCAAATAATGTCAAACATTAGTGTAAATACTTGTTTATAAGCTTTATTGTGTCATTAATTTAAAGAAAAATGTTCTCCCATGAAGAAAAGTGTGATATGTTAGAATGCTATTTAGTGTGCAGAAAATCCTCCTTGAGAGCAAGGAATTATATCCCGCTCGCATTCAACCGTATGAACGATATTTTCTGAGACTTTATCGAAAATTTAGTGGCAACGAAAATGTTTTTGCTAAAACAAGGGCAAAAAAAGAATTCATAATAAGCGAGGCCACGGAAATTGCAGTTATTGGATATTTTGAAGCTTATCGTGAGAATTCAATAGCAGATATTCTCAAGGACTCTAATTTCAGTTATGGTACTGTTCAAAGGATTTTAAAAAAATACAAATTTATTCCGTATAAGTACCGACCAGTTCAAACGCTTTTGGCAGGGGATCCAGAGAGAAGACTTGTTTTCTGTCATTGGTATCTTAGCTTCTGTCGCCAAAATGTAAATAACTTTCGTTACCTTTTATGGACAGATGAATCAAATTTTTCAAATTCTGGAATGTATAATAGAAAAAACCACCATTATTGGTCAAGAGAAAATCTTTTGTTAGTACATCCAAGAGGCCCACAAGTCCGTTTCAGTTTTAACGTTTGGTGCGGTATAATTGGTTCAAAAATTGTTGGCCCGTTCTTTTATGATGGAACCCTAACTGGTGAAAGATATGTGGAATTTATGTCAGAAATTCTGAATAATTTCTTAGACGAATTGGATCTTATAGGTAGACATCATCTGCATTTTCAGCAAGATGGCGCACCTGCCCACAACTCCAGAGGTACTTATCATTTTCTAAGTACTACTTTTAATGATCAGTGGATAGGAACAAATGGCCCAATACAGTGGCCTCCCAGATCACCAGATCTAAGCCCACTTGATTACTTCTTGTGGGGTTACTTAAAGAACCAAATTTACAAGCGAAGGTACGATAACCTTGACGCGTTAAAGACTGCAGTTAGGGAAAAGATAACCCAGATAGATGGTAGGACCATACTTAAGACAGTTCGAGCAGTTGAAAAACGTGCCCAAAAATGTATTGAAGAACAAGGTGGTGTTTTCGAGCATCTTCTTTAAAAAAATTGTTATTGTATTTTGTAAGATTATAAGTTGATGTTGAAAATAAAGTTTGTCGATACAATTTAATTGTTTCAGATTGGAGGCCATAACTTCAACAATTTGTAACCTAGGAGAAAAGTTATTGTAAGCTTTTTTGTTTAAAATTTGATGCTTTAACAGAAAAAAATATAATATATAGGGGTTTCCATTTAAAAAAATGTTATTTTACTGAAAAAAATCAAAATAACGACTCTCAATTGTTTTTTTTTATTTCTCATTTTTACCAGCGTTAAAAATGCTACTAGTTTGCTAATTCAAACAACTTTGTATTTTCACTAATAACAAAGTTACTAATGGTGGACACTTAATTTGGATAACCCTGTATATCTCAACAGATATCCAAGGGTTCAAACATTTTACGCGGGTAGTATACAATTACTTGTAAGTTGACCTTCTATACGACGCCAACTAGGATACGAGACGAAAAATTATGATTTGAAGCCTTGAGTACTATAAACTACCTGTGTAAGGACTTTGGGGGTTGTTCTACGCCTTAATACCTAGGATAGGCAGTCCTTTTACCATAAGGACTTAGTAGGTTTTTATTTTCCTACGTTTATGTCGTTAACAACGGAATGGTAGAATGCCTGTGACTCATACAATCTTAAAATTACATGCAGGTAGTTTTTATGTAAATGCATGAAAGGAAACTGTCTCTCATTTACATAGATCTTAGATTCAGCCATTTTGTATCCTGTTACATGGATTATATCCCAAGTTATTTGTTAGTCACAATTAAAACAATATTAAAACCAATAATTATTATCACATTTCCATGATGTAATTCTGCTCAATCGCAATCTTTGGACCTGGGAAAATCAGTGGTGGAGTGACCTTAGAGTTAAACTTCGGAATCCAGGTCCGGTGAATAGATTTTTGCGACTTTTAGTGGAATGCGATTTACAATATTTTTGTAATAACATTTAAAATTATGTATACGGTTATTTAGGTTTATGAGCTAACTGATAGACCTCATCAAACAGAAGAAAAATGTTAATATCAACTAATCTATTTCACGTCTTCGTTAATGAGATACGGGGTTATTTAAGTTCATTTCTTCTAATACTGATTTTAATTTCTCTTAAATTACCTGAGTGATTTAGATAAAACTCTGTGAATCGACGGTAGGTAATATTTTTAGAGTGGAAATTACATCCAAAAATAACAAAAAAGGTCGCTGTAAACATCAGTCTGAAAATGTTCCATTATAAATACACAGGGAGTTGTAAATTGTACGGCGTAGATGGAACTGCATATAGCAAAACATTAATATTGTTCAAATAACGCTATGGTGAAACAATATCACTTCTAATACCGTACAAACAATTTTCAGTGTCAAACTTCTCTCATTTCAGCGTATTTAAGAAG